GCTGTCGTCTCGTTTGATGCGTGATCTTGTTGATTATGCTGATGTCTGATGTCTGGAATTGAGATCGAGAATTTGGGTTCCCTGTTTCTCAGGCCCCATGGCAGGTTCACTGCCTCCATTCAGGTTCATCTCTTTTTTTTCTTACCCCTCCCGAGTTCCATTTGCCGAGTGTGAAATTTTTGCTTGTTTGGCATTCATGGAAATTGCCTATGCCAGGGAATTTTGTGGGAACAAGTGCAGCGGCATTGGGATCGGCAGAATCAACCACATTACGTGCTCTTTTTTCACTCGGAGGAAGGGAAGAACCCCCGCAGGCGGCAGCGTGTGAATTTCAAGTTTTTGGGAAGGATTTGTTTTTTTGGTTTATGGCAAAAACGGTGTGGGAAGATAGTGGAAAAACCAAGGATCACATGGACAAAAAGGAGTTGTCAGGATATTTATTTGAAAGAATATTTGCATTTAAGTTTGATATTATAAATTAATATTATTTCATTTAGTTTTATTTTCGATAATATTTTATTTAAGTTATTTTCAAATTGTCAAAACTGCTGTATTGTAAGCTTGTTTTTTTAAAATTAGTATTTAAAACAAATATTATTAATACATTTTAATAGCCCTACATAAGCTCAGTTTTATTTTTGAGTAATTTTTAGTTAAGCCCTTTCCAAATGTTCAAAAATTCCTCTGTATAGTTTGGTTATTCATTTGAAACAACGTTGGTTTTAAAAACCAATACTGATATTATTAATTAATATTAATAGCGCTACATTAACTTATTTTTATTTTCGAACTACTTTTTTTAAACTCTCTGAAAATGTTCAAAAAATTCTTATGCATTTTAAAATGTACTTTTGCCTGGACATCAATCAACCAAAAGCGAGCAGCTTTCCCCCATCGATAACGCAACTCAAACTCCCTATGCCCCTGACCATGTTACGCACCTTAAATGGAACTGCCCGCGTCCCATTTAATTAACATTCCAGCAACCTGCTCCTCGCCTTTGTTGTGGATCCGTCCTGATCCCGATACCAATACCCGATGTATGTTTATGTGCCCTAAAGTACTGTCACCTTAGTGCGGCACGCATCGTGATTTATGCTCTCGCAGCGAGAAAATTAAATAATAAAACTGAAAATCTGTAACAAAATGCTGAAGACCGCTTCTCTTATGGCCGCTGCACATGCGCAATAAATTCGGTTTTTATGACACCTGACAAAATACGCAGCAAAAGCAAAAGCAGCAGCAGCAGCCACTGCAACTCGAAGAGATGGGGCTCAAAATCGAGATGGAAGCGGCTGCTTCAGTGGAAAAATTATTTAATGACTAATGGCATGGCTGAGTACACTGGGAAAAATAGGGTGTTTTTTTTTAAATATGTTTTAATATAAATGCTCAAAGTTTGTGTAAGTCTAAAAGTTGTCGAATAGTTTTCTCATCCGGCTCGAAGGACCAAAATGGTTGAAAGTTAAGGTAAAACTCCGAAACTTTAAAGTCTCTTACCAGCCTTAACAAAAAATTAAATACAGTCCACAGCTTCACATACTTACAAAAATTTTATAAAAAATATTTCAGAAATGGTACCTACCTAGAAATTCACCTATTTTTGGTGTTACGATTTTATACGATTGTTTGTGATGTAATCACAACTAGCGCCTATTTTTTGCAAAGTGTAAGTGACAGGCTGCTCGGGATGCTTGGATTCGTTTATTGCCCTGTGTCTATTGAAGATTAATTTCATTTACACAACTTCATCGCCTTGCCGCCTCGGCTTCATCTTCTTCTTGATCTTCGGCGTGGCTTAACACTTTGTTGCCCGCCTGGTTGCGTTTTGAAGTTAATAAAGTCATAAATTGTCTTACCGGGGGCTGGTCGGCTCCCTCTTCCCGGACTTCAGTGTTCCACTGTTCCAGCTCTAATACGCAACAGTTGGAGCCGCAGTCTGTAGCGTCGCAAATCGTTACGTGTCCATGGGTTTTTATGGCTTCTTTTGTGAGTGTTGGGTCTTAAGATGGCATATGTTGCGGATTAGAAACGGACCCAGTTCCCCCGAAAAAAGAAGGTTGGGGAGGTTTAGGCACTCGAATTTTACAATTCATCACCTTTATGATCGATTTTAATTGAAGTAGAACACACCTTAATGTCGAAGGGGTCGAGGATTATACAGAAACGTCGTGATAATTAAAATAAAGATTAAGAGATTCAATTCGCCTAAAAAAAAAGTTACCGAAAATTCCTTTAAATATTTAAAAAATGCCAATGTTACTTTACAATTTTACCAATCAACTACAATTATTGGCATTTAAAAATCACAGACCTCCACGTGTATCCAAAACGTGAATAACCATATTTCAATCACTAAGTAGAACGAAGGAGACCTTCGAAAATGGGTTTATTTAAATTACTAGATAGATAAGGAGAGTGCTCAATTATATGTAAATAAGCGGGAAGCAAGATGTCATTGTGGGGCCCGGCCCCATCAGGTATTCTTATCGCAGACAGCTTAGCTTAGTTCGGGCTCCAATCAATTCCGATTCTCCGGGGTTCCCATTCCCCGGGGCTCTCTCAATGGAACACCGGTCCCGAAAGCCATTCGGCAAACAACAATTTGTTGGACTTTTATTTTTACGGCCGCATATTGGCACAGCTGCTACTTCAGCGCGGAAGAAGAGTCGGAGTCGTCTTTAATAATATAACCATGACGATTCACATCGGATCGGAACAGAAAGCAGCGTTATGCAAAAAAGGTGCAACACATTTTCCTGCCCCACACACAAAAACAACTCTTTGTGTGTTCCTGCTATACAAATACGATAGTGGTGCACCTATAAAAAAAAGAACCTAACGGATCGTCAGTGGTGGCGATACCTATATGGTGCTGCATGTGCCGGAATTCGCCTTCCTGTCCTTACTGGGTTGCAAGGTTCCCGGCACCACGGCCCTCTGTTCAAATACACCTTGCTTGCGTCATAAAAAGTGGTCTCTTCCGCCTGGAAAAGCGAGGTATGCACTGAAAAAACCGGATACCTTTAGTCCTTAAAACTTAAATTTAAACTATCTTAATTTTTATAATATTTTAACATTCTAATATTGAGCTGATCAACAAAATTTTAAAACAAATTTTAGTTAAAACTATATTATTTCTTATGAAGTATTTTTTAGGATTGTTGTAATAGAAATTTTTACAAAAAAGATTAGGTACACCTAAAAAATTTTAAAAATTTCTTTACCATTTTGAAATACTTTTTTTATTGGATACAATATAAAATGTGTTAAAAATATTTTTTTCAAGTGCTTTAAAGTGGCAACTTTTGGGGTGGTTCCTTATCCTATCGCTGTTCTGGTCCAAGACCAACAAAAAAAAGGGGGAGAAGTTTTCCTACTCGTCTACCTGTCAAGTTTACGCCTGACAGCGTTTGATATTTTCCTCGCGTCTTCGCCAGCTGCTCCTGCGAGTCCTTGAAATAAAGGGATATACGCCCGAGTTGGATTGCAACATGTAGCAAGTACTTTGCAGAGGGTGCACTCAATAGGGGTGGCTAGCTTTGCACCTCCGACAGGTGGTGATCCTGCGGATGGGCCCACTTTGAATTTGTTTATACATTAGGCCTTTATCAAACGGTTATCTATGAATAGGAAGAGGTACAGTGTGTAGTGGGTGAATTCATCCAGCGAAGAATGTTCTATTTCCTCTTTTTTGTATGCAAATACACTAGAAATTTTAAGTGGATCTACTTTGCGAGCAGATGTCCTAATGCATGACTAAAAATAGTAATAATTTGAATAGATACAACTATTATTAAAACTTATATTATTCTCATAAAATTATAAATTTTTTCGTCTATTAAAAATAATCATTAATTTTTTTAATTTAACTTGAAAGCATTTTAAGAAAATCCCATTTTTAACCCATTTTATAACCTATTTTGTGATATTCACAGTACACTTACATGCAAGTCTAATCAAGAGTTGACACCAGCTGAATACCATTTCTATGCCAGGTTTTTTCTTTTAGATATTCCGAACCTCAATGCATTTATAATCGCACTAACCCTTTTGGAATGCCCACAATTACATGGAAATTAATGAAATAAATCCCCACACCAGAAGGTTCCTAGCACGATCCTCGGCCATGTCGCCAATGGAAAGTACGTGAGTAAGCAAACCGAAGGGACGGCTTCAATTGAAGTTCAATGAAATGTGTCGCCCGCGTGCGCTTTGATTTTATTGCCAGCACTTAACATAATGAGCCGCACCGATAAAATCACGTTTCCTATCGCGCGGCGCATGCGCAATACGCTCGATACTCGATTTCGGTGATTCCAGTGCGCATATGCTTCCTGTCCCGCCGGAAATTCCTTTGAGTGCCACAGTGCCAGTGCCCCACTCCATTTTCATTTCCATTGTCATCCGTCTGCAGCAGTGCAGTACAAAAGTTCAAAGTGCACGGAGTACGAGGGATCGGGATTGGAATTGGGATCGGAAAAGGGATCCATTGAATATGCCAAGTGCAGCCGAACAAAGGATACACCACCTGTTTCCTTGGGCTTTTGTTGGATTTCCATTTGGGGATTTATGCGAAGAGGAAGTTCATTGAACTGGTAGCTGCTGCAATTGAAATCGTAACGCACGTGCAGGAGAGCAACGAATTTAGGTTTAAGAAATAGTTTTTTTAAGTAAATATATATAAAAATAACTAGAATATATATAGACGATATTTAAATGCATAAAATTAAAATTAAAACTACCAGTTTTGTCTTAAATAATGAAGAAGTCTTTCCGTTTGCTGGATATGTCATAACATTATGTTTAAAAGGTGATAAATTACTTTTTATAGATAGTTAATTTTCTTTATAATGTTTTAACCATTCACTCTGATAATAAATTATTTAATATTAAAATTATTCACAAGGTGTTTAAAATTAATTATTATAATTATGACAGCGATGTCAAGATATTAAGCGTTCAGAAATGTAAGTGTTCCAATCAGAAATTGTATAAAAAAATTGTTTTTCTTTGTTTTGTGATATGATGTACGAGACATTTAATTTCTATAACATTTTTTAAAAATCCATATACCCAATATTCAGTACTTGTACTTCAGGTAGGCTTCGAAGAGCATATTGGAGCGTGAGTAGCGCCTGTCCTCCTCCATGAACTGCAGCACATCCCTGATGCTCAGATGTTTGAATCGCAGACCAAATGGTCGCTGAGCCGGAGGACCAACAGCCGCTGAACCGCTGGGAGTAGCTTCCGGTGGGGCAGCTTCCGCCGGACGCTTCCTTCCACCGATGGCCAACATAGCGGTGTCATTAACCGACTCCAAGCGCACTCCCTTTTTCTCCTTATCGGCACTCTCCGTTCGGTGTTTGCGATAGAACCCGGCATCGTCGTCCGAGGATCCATAGTCGGCCATCTCCAGATCGTTGAGGAACATCATCGTGGTCCTCATGTCGTTCTTCATCACACACCTTACGTCGTTGTACAGATGATAGCCCGATCGATGTTCGCACAAAGCGATGGTCTTCTGGACCACCAATTTCATATAGGTCTCCAGGGCGGCCAAGAAAGCATCCAAGAGTGCCTCGTGGTCCACCATGTAGATATCATCCGCCATGTTGGCCTGGGTCAAGTTTTTGAGTAGCTTCTTCATTAGGCTACTGCGCTCGAAGAAGGAGGCACGCGGCTTCTTCTTGGCCAAGTTGCTGGACTTGGTCAAATCCTGGGGCGTCACCTCCGGCAGAATGAGATTTTTGATGACCAGGAGTTTACCAGCATATGGCTGCATGGGCACCTCAATGGGAATAAGCGACATTTTCTTGAAAATTATTAATAAATTGGGAAGTGGCTGAACTGACACTGAAAATTGTCGGTTGACAACTAAAACTTACAGAGGTTTTAGTCCAGGGATGAAAAAATCTAACATTTACTGTAATAATATGGATTTAGTGTTTAATGTAATCTATAAATAACAATTTGTAATATTTTATTTTAATATGCATTTTAGTGTTTATTTACGTTTTTGTTTTTTATGTTATTTCGTTTTCCCTTTAGAGATTTCAAGAGCCCATTAGCTGGACTTTTGAATTCCAACACAGCCCTTATCCTTCGCCACCCAGCCAGGTGCTGGTGGTGCTGCCACGAGCCAGCAACACCTCCAAGGAAACATATGCCGCTTGCCACATGCCCCGCTTGAGTGCACCCACCCCTCATGGACACCGCTGACCGCAACATTTTCCTACACTGAAATAGTTTCTTTTTCATTTACAGCTAGTTTTCCTTTGTTATGGTTTTTGAATATCATTAATATACTTTTAAGGAATTAAATGTATATTTTATAATAATTTAATAATTTTTTATATTTATATATATATATTAACTCGTAGAATAAAAAAATATTACGTTTTAAACGTTTTTTACTCATTAGATGAAATGTTGCTCAATATTGACAATTTTAATTTGAATTATTGTCAGCTGTAAAGAATTAAATTTCTAAAAAATTATTATTTTAATCAATTGCTCAATATTGACCATTTCAATTTGAAATATTGTCGGTTGTAAAGAATTATAAAATATAATAATTATTATAGCTAGTTGGCTAGTGGATTAGCTAATTTAGGGTAGCCACCAAAATCTGTTAATTATATTTTGATGTGTGGAAGCCCTTAATCTTTGGGAAACTCTGTTAAATATATACAAATAATACCACATGCAATATTATAATTTTTTCTTTAAAATTTTTTTCAAGTGCCTGACATGGCCCACTAACTCGGCCCGGGCCAAGCACTTGTTCCTGTTCAATGGCCAGCAACAGGAGAAGGATGAGGTGGATGAGGAGAAACAGGCGCAGGACACGTTATGCAAAGTGCACAGGAATGCAAGTGGGCCTTTTCGGGCGACTGGCGACGGGCACGAGCGCCTAATTATTCAAATGGAGGCGGTCTGATGGAATGCCCTGTCCTAGACACAAAGCCCGAAAGACCCGTCGCCAGTCGGGGTGAGCGGATATTAGTTAAAACAGCGGCGCGCGACAGTCGCCCGTTTATAGAGCCCCGAACTCGGAACTCCTGTCCCGCACATTTCCGTGCACCACTGAACTTCTGCCTCCCGACAGATCTTTAAACTCATATAAGGGTGTGCTGGGTCGCATATTTAATTGCCGGCTTACCTGGCACTTCCAGGAGCAAGACGCGTGTTGTTTTGACGTCTCCCCGAACCGGCTAGAAATTTATTAGAAATGCAAGGCGATGTGTCTTTGTCGGCTAACGCAACTCAACTTCGACTCAACTCCCGAACAGGTTCATTACGCGTGCCGGCGACACTCGACGCGGCGTTGACCTAATTACCTGTTTATTTTTTTTAGTTTTTACATTTCGTGCCCTCCCTACTTATAGGGGTAGGCTATATAACTATTACTGCCTGGTTATTCCTGCGGGTGTCACTGAAGCTTAACTCCGCTGCAAGGTGCAATTCGATGGCAGGAAAACGTATTCTAAATATGTGTTCTTTATTTTATGGAAACTGTACTACCAGTTAAATAAGCAAACATTTTAAGTAATAGTCTTAAAGAAATAAGTCAAATAAATAATATCAAATAATAGTTTTCTTAAAATTATAATTGATATTGAACTAACTAAATTTTGTAATGCCTATGAATATTTTTTAAATGGATCATTAATTTTTTGGGATATTCAAAAATCTCTAGAGCGTTTTATTAAAGAGTTTCATTGAATTTAAATTTCCTATTAATCTTGAAATATTCCATTATTAGAAGATGAATTAGTTTATATGATTTTTAAACCGTTTATTTTTGTTTTGTTTGAAAATTTCAAATCTTAAATTTGTATTAATTACATATTTTTTTTTTTTCGTACATTCAAACCTGACTTCTCTGCTTTAAGTTACATTTCCCAGTTCTCCCCTCTTTCATGGGCCGTGTTATATGCCACCCAACAGCAGTTGAAAATGCAGATTCCATGCCCCTTGCATAATCCACACATGGAAACACCGGGGAAAACGGCCGCCTGCCATTTCCGAGGAGCGAACCGCATAAACTAAGCTAACAATTCAACTAAAATGCCAACCAGATAATAAAACTCAAATCGATTGAAGAGAAGTGGAAGCATTGGCCTTTCCGAAAGATGGAAAATGGAAATAAAAATGCGAACACGACGCTGGGAGTCGTCGGGAGAAAGAGAAAGAAAGACTTGCAGCCGGGCAGGGCATTCAGACGACCACCCACACGTTTTTGAATCGGAATCGAAGGTGGAGTTGCAGTTCGCCATTTGGAGGTGGAGTTTGGAGCTTGGAGTTGGATGCAGAGCATCCTCGCCGCCTGCGCAGTGTCAAATAGACAACGAAAACAAATGCACAGGAACACAACATTTAAGGAATTTTAGATCGAAATTAATATAAAAATTTATTTCGTTTAAATTTTATTTATGTAAAAAAAAAAAAATTAAATATAAAGAAAATTGCTTTCCCCAAAAATAATCTGAAAAAATGCCAATAATTGTGGAACAAGTTCTCTATAATTTTCTCAGTGCAAAAGAGTGTTGCGTGGCAGAGCGCAGGCGTAGCCTCCACAGGACGGACTGATGCAGTTGAGCCGACTGGCGATGGAGATGGAGGCATATTCCAGCGAATAAATATTATCATATGGAAATTTCGCTGCGGAGCAATTACGAATGCAGCCAAACGTTGTGGCAAGTGACCTGGGAGACGTCAATCCCGGGCACAGGAAATCGAAGTCGCAACTCGACGGTTTTGACGATGATGTAGCACCGCCAGCTTTTATGCACTGCACACGGAGCTCCATACCCTTCTTCCTCCTCTTCGCCTGCCCCACGGAACCCACCGACATTTAGACCATGTTCATAGAGATCGCAGCGTGTCGCAGTCGTAGAAAGTTTGAATGGAGCATGCCAAGTTGATAACAGTGGGTACAAACTAAGATGAACTAAAAGGGTTTTTATTTGACATAAACAAAAAACAAACAAAGTTCAAATAAATATTAAAGTCCTATAAAAAAAAGTATTGTATAATAAAGATATTTAAAAAAATTTGTTTTTTTTCAGTGACAATATTTTCCTATAAAATAAATGTAATAAACTTAAGGTATTTGTGTGCTTGTAAGTTATTGCAGTATGTTCGTCATATAGCTTACATGTATATAAGAAATAGTTATATTCAAATCTTTAAGGTACTCTTAGGCAATCTTCACTGTGCGCTGGCAGACCCACCAGCAACCGTATCCACATCAGCGGCTTTGCGTACCTGTTGGAGCTGCGTTTTTGGGCGCAGCAAATGAAATTGCCAATTGTTGCGCTTTTCGGTGGCAGTGGAAGTTGGGGCTACTGTTTGGGCACTGTTTTGTTGCCTCGTTGCTGCTGCTGCTGTTGCTGCCACACACCTTGCAGCTGGAACGGAAGCGAGGCATCTCTGGAAGATCTCCTTGCCACTTTCTGCTGCCTTTTTAAGCCATTTTAATATGAGCGTTGCACATCTTGTGGGTGTGGCTGATTGGGCAGGCCAAAAAGCTAAGGCAAAAAATACAGAAAAAATGGATGAGCTCTCGAGCCCAGCCCGATGATCAATCTTGGCCAGGGAAACGCTTTGTGATGATGATGATGATGACGACGTGGACTTTGTGGCCGCTGATGGTTTTGATTGCAACCGCAGCCCATCAGCGTTTTCGCAGTTCGCTACTGGTTTTTTGCACCGCCACTTAAGTGGGCGTGGGCATTTGGAAAACGTTAGTCCCATCTGTCAGAGGAGGAAGCGATCTATTTGGCCTATGGAAATGGCAGACAGGCCGCGGAAAATGTTTCAATTATCAGCAATTTGGGTAGTAATTAATTCCAAATAATAATAGCCAGTAATAGCAAGGTGAGTGGGCTGAACACCTGCAGTGGGATTTATTTTTCTATTTTTTAAGAAGCGGAAGTAAATTGACACGCCTGCAAAAGGACACCTTCAACAGGATTGTTATTCTTCCACTTCTAATTTATTTTTACAGCACCTCGTTTCCGTTCCCAGAACACCCCATTGAGTTTGGCATTGTCCTAGGAAACAGGTCACAGGAATTGCTTTGTTGGCAGGTTCCTTTTTAGTTTCCCAAAAGCAACAAGTGCCGATTGGTTTTTGTTGCGATAAAAATCAGTACATTGCTTAGATATTTTTCAAATATTCAAAGGAAGCAACAAAAATGTTATTTTTAGGCTGGGATATAAAATAAATAAATTAAATTCAATTAAATTGATAAGTTTATAAGGCTAACAAATTTTTAGTATTTTTAGTTCTTGTTTTAATACCGTGAAAACTTAATATTTCTTTCCATTAAATAAAAATATTTTAATTCTAGTTATTATACATATTTTTTTGGATTAATTTTAAATATTTTGTTTGTTTAACTTTCTAAATATATATTTAAAAATTTACCCTATTTTGTATCCATTAAATTTACATATAACTGGCTTACAACAGTAAAAGTCTCATAACAGCCTAAGAAGGCCATGCAAAATCTTATAAATTATGCAAAATCATCCGCATTTACTAGATAAATAAATGTCCCCTCAATGCAAAGTGCAATAGAGAACGAACAAAGTGATTTTAAGGCAGCAAGAAAAAACCTGCAAATGCAAATTGCTGGTGGGAAGAAGAATAAGTGACTTGGAGGACGGAGTAGTAAATTGGAGCGCTACTAGAGGATTCTCCCACAGCCCACTGGACTACTTTTGCCTGGTCGCGATGACAATAATGTTGTCTGCGCTTCGTTATGGCCAGCTATCCTCTAGAGTTCGAGCCTCACCTGATCTCACCTCGAACCAATGCCATTGTCACCAAAACGACATGGCCATA